TTGCCAAAAGCAATTCCCATACTCGTGTCTCTCTACCTCTGCATGTGTTTACAGCAAAAAGAAAAAAGGAAACAGTTATGACCAAGTTGACCAAGAAAAATACAAGAACTTGGTCCACTCTGTTATATCTTACAAAACCAGTGCCCAAACCCCAGAGACAATACTTGAGGAAGACAATTTGTTATATGGGCCACCAGCTAAACAAACACCTCCAATTAAAGCTGGGACAAGAACTCCCAAGAATTGGGTTCCTTTAATAAACCCCAGCAAGAGAATTCTTCCTGCCAGCAGTGACTCAAAGGTGCCCATGAAAATCAGGCCACAAAGAGCGAAGCTGCCCAGCGTCACCCGCATCCTTCAACAAACCCTCTCTCCTCAGCAAGTCTTCTATCTGGAAAGATGGAAGCAGAAGATGATAGAGGAGCTTGGAAAGGAGGGATTTGAAGATTACACCAAAAGTAAGTCTGGCCACAGTGGGATTGCAGAGGAGAAGCTGTAGTTTGGATTGCTGGCAGGTACAATGGGATGAATGGTTTGGAAATCCATGAAGTTGTTTCCATTTCATGAGAGCACATTGTGAGTGTACCTGTTACCAACGAGCCTAAGCTCTGTCTTTGTTCTGGGACCACTAAAATGGATTTAGAAAATTGTAGAAAATGAGAGACAGACTGTAGGCATACTTTGCTCAATCCTGTCTGACTTTCCTTTAATTCTCGATTAGCCAGTATCTAATTAGAAAGAGGTATTTTCCAGATGATGTTACTGAGCCTCTTTGCAGTTACAAAGCTACTTTGTAACAAGATGGAAACAGGCATTTTGAACTCATGGAGTCCTGAGCCTTTGAAAACCAGTGTATCCTGCTGTTTATGGTGAGGTTTTTCAGTAACTGTTTGGTTTATCCAGTGTATGTATCAGTAATCAATGAGACTGAAAAAGTAAAGGAAGCATTACTAAAGGGATACCAATTTCCCTACTGACAATTTATTTTCTGTTTCTTTCCCTTCTCCCCACACCCTCAGACTTTCAGTACAAAAATTGGGACTGGTTTAAGAGCTACATTGTGGAATATGTAGGATACAAATCCAAAGTAGTGTCTGAAAGGTGAGGGGGTGTGGCATTCACATTCTCTGAAAAACCCCTTTGCCCAGGATTTTTCTCCTGAGAAGCCTCAGAGAAAAGGAGAACAATTTTTATCTCATTTGCTTCTCCTCTGTTTTGCTCCTTTGGGATGTGTTTGGAGATTGTTTATCCACAGGTGATTGTTCCATTGGTTTCTGGTGTGAGTTGTTTTCACTCTTTGGCCAACTGGGGCCAAGCTGTGTTGGGATTCTGGAAAGAGTCACAGGTTTTCATTATTATCTTTTTAGCATTGAGTATCTTTTCTTTATTCTTTAGTATAGTTTAGTATAGTATTCTTTAATATAATATAGTATTATAAAGTAATAAATTAGCCTTTTGAATAACATGGAGTCAGATGCATCATTCCTGCCTTCGTCGGGACATTCCCTGCAAATACAATAAGGGGCTTTTCCCATTTTTCTTAGATCTTTTTCTCCAGGGAGAGCTCTTCCATTCAGCTTTGGAATCAATATTCCTGTCTGGAGAGACAGCAGCCAGGGAGCAGGGTGAGGATGATGTGGTGGCTGGCTACCTGTCCAGTGTGGAAGGTGTCTTGGAGGACATCAGCGAGGTGAAGGCTCTGGAGAGCGGAGTTCACCACGGGACCCTGCAGTACCTGGGCCTGGTCGACTGCGTGGCCAAGTATCAGTGAGTGCCCTTCCTGTGCTGTGCTGTGCTGTGATGCTCTGGGGGCCAGGGTGTGATTGAGTGGACAGATCTCCAGGACTGGCAGGCTGGAGGAACTTCCCTGGATGATCCTCAGTGCTGTTTTTCCCGTGGGAGCTTCCTATTGGAGAAGGGACAGGTTCAAGCAATTGTCTGCATTTTCCAGGAACTGCTGCAGGTTTGAGTAATCTAGTTTTAGTTTGGTTTTTAGGATCTAAACTGCCAGTGTGAAAGAGACTTGTTTAGTGACATCATGGGGAAACAGGCTGAGAGTGAAAAGTCTTTATGTGCTGTCTCCCTTATTTCTTACCTGAGACTGAACTGAAGTTTAAACCATTGTCCTGTCTTGTTCTCCTGTGCAGGGGCCAGCTGTGTGTGATCGACTGGAAAACTTCAGAGAAGCCAAAGCCATCTCTGCAGAATACTTATGACAACCCATTACAGGTTGCAGCATATATTGGAGCCATAAATCATGATGCCAACTATAACTTCCAGGTCAGTAGCCCTGCTGCATGCCAAGACAAGCAGCAATGCCTGTGTGATCCTCATTTCTTCCTGCCTTTAGAATCTGCTGCCCACCATGGAAGTGTTGGTAGGATTTGTAACAAAGGAGCCCAGTCTGAGATCAGGTCAAGGTGTGAATAATACTGTGAAATAATTCCACTGTTCCTGCTGATCCTGCTGCCCTTGGCTGCCAGTGGTGAATTTTCAGTGGTTTTAAGGGAGTGCTCAGTGGGACCAAGGGATGCTCAGATGAACTCCCAGGTACTTGGCATGTGGGCAATCCCCTGTGCTCTGTCCTTGTGTCAAGAGTAGGAAGGGGCAGGAGAGGAAATAAAGCAAAAGAACCTGCAAACAATGAAATGGTGTGGGAGGGTCTTGCCTGCATCCTGTCCTGCTAGCAAATGAGGGACTGAGTGATGCACTTGGTGTCTGGGAGCTGTCCTGTGTTTCCTCAGGGAAAAGCAGTGGAAAAACAGCTTCTTCTTCAGAAGACTGTGGAATAATGTTTTTAAAGACTCCAAAAGCAATTCTAGCCTGCCTGCTTGGCCTGAAGGATTTTTACCTCAGTACAGATATTGAAGGGAGAAAATACAAAGCAGCAGAGAGCAGGGTAATTTGTATGCTGTGCAAAGGACTTTCTAGGATACTGTAGAGGTAAATGAACACAAGACTACACAGACATGATCCTGACAGAGTGAAATATGGCCTGGAATTCTGCTCATGGCTTCCTACCCCCACTGCCAGTGTCTGTTTGGGATTTGGGTTTTGCCAGGTATGAAAGATGTCAGAACATACCTAAGTAACCATTTCTATCCAGACTGAAGCTGGAGGGTGGCATCAGCCTGGTTGTATGGCCTCAGGCAAAAACTCCTCAGTCTCTGGCAATTTTCCTGGCATCTGCAGGGTTTAAATATCACTCATCCTCAGAGTTCATCCCCTGGTTTTCACTGGAGCTTTGGGCTGGGGGGTTTTGGAGCATTGGAATGTTAAGTCTCTCTGTAAAGGTAAATCTTGCCCCTTTTTATTCCCCATTCCTTATGTGAGCTGTGCATGTTGGAAGCTGTTTTGCAGTGAGGTTTAGGCTTGCACAGAGCTGTGGGGTTTGTGACAGCCCCTGTTTGTGCTGCAGGTTCGCTGTGGGCTCGTGGTGGTTGCCTACAAGGACGGATCCCCCGCACACCCGCATTTCATGGACCCTGACCTGTGCTCTCAGTACTGGAACCAGTGGCTCCTGCGCCTGGAGGAGTACAGGGACAAACACTGACCCAGGCTGAGCACAAGCAAGTGGCCAGAGACAAAGGAAGAACTTTGTTTCATGTTCTTTTTTGTGTAACTTCAGCTAATTTCTTGCTAGCCAGGCTCCCCTCTCTCCCCTCCCAAAAAGTAACTTTCAAATGGGGAATATCTATTTCCTTGTATTGTAGGTAACCTCAGTGGTCCAGGCAGAAAAAAGCCAACTTATTGGCCTCTCTTTTTTATCCCATACAGTTTATACAGCCTGGGGTTGATAGAAAAGTTTCTACTACCAAGTAAAACTGTTTGATCAAATAATCTTTTTTTTTTTCCTCAAAAATCACAAATGAAAGTTGCAGAACTGAGTCTTTAAAAATGAAGTTGGTGAACTAAAGCAAAACAACATCTGTGATGTATGATGATGAGCTGAGAGAAATGCAAATGATAAAGAAGTGGATGTGGTAGACTGGGTTTCAGTCAGTTCTTGCTCATGCCATCATCAGGTTTGTTCTTATTTGTGGTTTTTCCTACAGCTACAACTGGAAAACCTGTGCTGAGAGTTACAAGGAAAGTCCTCATTAGTTCTCATTTAGAACAGTACAGCAAAGTGGCCACTTAGCAGAAGTGGCTCAGCAAGAGAGGAGCAGAATTGGAGCCAACACTCCCAGAAATTTCCAGCGGGTGTTCTGAGAGGTGGGAATGTTGGCTGCTGCTGGTGGCTCCTCCTGCAGGTGTTTTACACCCAGCCCACAGAAAAGCACTGAGAGATGGGGCTGTGTGCCTTGGCTTGGGAGCTCGGCTGACTCTGCTGCAGGCCTGAGCACATGAGGAGCTCACCCCATGGAACAGTCCCCAGTGCCACATGAGTGAGCTTCTGTATCAAAACAGAGCCTTCTGAGGGGTGAAGAGCTGCTGGTTGGGTTTTGGGGACTGTTTTTTATGGGTTTCTCTTTGGTTTTTTGTTTGGTTTTTTTTTTTTTTCAAATAAGTTTGTGAATAAATGTTTTGAAACAGAAATTTTACATTTGAAGCACATAAAATCAAGTCTGTAAAGCAGAGAATAAATAAGCCTTGATCATGTCAGGCAGTATTGTTCTGGAAAATTTTTTTCCTCATTCTCTTTGTCTTGTATAACTTGTAGGTGTGAGTTTTCACAATAATACTGCAGCTTACAAATAAAGTCATGACCAACCTCTGAGATTTAAGAAAATCAGCCAGAACCCCATGCCTGAGGAAGGCTACCAGCAAAGGCAGTTTGTGACCCTCAGTCCCAGTGAGTCTGTACCTCATGGAGCCAGGAGGAGGGAGACAGCCTTCAAAAGACAACAGGGCTGGGAGTCACTGTGTCTGGTACCTCGGAGAGCCTGGCTGCTGCCTTGGGCAGCCCTGGCTGAGCTGTGGAGCATGGCTGGAGCAGCACAGGCTGGTTTGTCCTGGAACAGGACTGGCAGGTGCCTGTCACCGGTGTCACACAAACCCAGAGATGCTTTGTGACCAGATTCAAGGAAGCTCCCAGGGCACTGCTGCAGGCACCGTCTGTCCTCTGCAGAAAAACTTGCTGGGCAGCCAGGGCAGTTATTCCAGCTCTGACATCCAGAGCTTTGCTCTCCATCCAGGATGGCTTTTACCCTGTAGCAGCCTGCCACTGCTCCCTTTCTCTTTTGTTGTGAATCCTTTCTGTGCCCAGCTCACTGTGCCTGTGGCTCTGTCAGCAGGGATGTGGCAGTGACACTGAAAGGAGAGCCAAAGGAGCACATGGTGCAGGAGAGATAAAAAACCAACACAGAACATGGCTCTGGCTGGAGAGGAAGGGTTCAGCCCCAGCTCTGCTGTGCCAGGGAAGGGCTGAGGTTTCAGCAGAGCTGAGCACACAAATCCCATGCAGTCAGGTGAACATTAATCCCACTGCAGAGTGAGCAACCTTCCCTTTACACTGCTCAGTTACAAGACCTGGGGGTCAGTGTACAAGCTTTAGCTTTCTGCAGAGTCAGGATCTTCTCATTTAACTCAGATATTTGGGGTTTTTTCCCAGCAACTTCCCATTTATTAAAATATTCTACAAACTTTCCTGCTACATAGGATAAGTTTGTTCCTAACACAGTAGCATCACTTTATTATCCTCATTTTCAAGGTCCCAAGCACCAACAGTTGTGCTGAATAAATCATTAACATCCTCAGGAATGCTTTAAGACCCCCTAGAATCTTTTCCCCACAAAAACCCAAGCAGGTGCCAGTACCAAACCTGAAGCAAGTTGAAAAGACTTTTTTACAATTCTTGCAAAGTTGCTCAAAATGTCTCATTTTAGCAGCAATGACTGTGAAAGTCCTGACTTGGTATTTTAGGTGGGAGGAGGCTTCTACACTTAGAGTGGTCACAGAGGAGCAGCCAGATTGGTGCCTGCAGCTTTGCACTGATCTCCTGAAGCAGACACAGGCTCAGTCCCCCTTTCCATTGTTGTATTAATGAACAGGTACTTGAATATAAAAGGAAAAAAAAAAAAAAAACCAAAAAAACACACCATAAAATATGCACAAAATTGCATTTCATCATGACAGAAAATACTTAATTTCAAGTCATTACAGTGCTTTCTTTGGGTTTCTGGGTTGCTGTTGGTGTAAATTAAAAAGATGTAATACTTCTCCAGGTGAGCTCAGCAAGTCCAGGAACACCAGAGCTAAGATTTCACTTGTATATCAACATGATAAAAGTAAGTTCATGGCTTCAAGTACTTAAAACACAACCAAAAGTCAGCCCTAGAATAATAGTGGAGAAATTTTGAGAAGAAAACATTCTGCATCCTTTGGGAAGAGTTTCAACTCACCTTGGATCACACTTCCATAAATTGTTAGCAGGCTGCACAGGGGGCAGAGCTGAGATACTTGCACTTTGTAACTCACTGGATGATACAATGCACTCCTGTTCTTAAGGCATGTAAATTAATTCAATTGCATAGAACTGTGTACCTGCAGCACTCTTAGCCAACACTTTTCACCCAAACCTCTCATAAGTAATTTGCATGGGAGGTAGCAGTTACTCACTTTACAAAACACAAATACACCTGGGGAAAGGTGAACTCTCATTTGTCAGGGGTGTTCAGACCTGACAGAAAACAGGCTGCCCAAATGTCAGCTCATTAAATACTCCATCCGAGAGGTGACAGCCTTTGCAAGCATTCCATTTTTATTGGCCACATAAAAAAAAATAATAAAGTCTGAATGGGAATATTTCTGTCAAACTGAGGTTTTACCAACATCAAGAGTCCCGTTAACAAAAACATCCCTTTAATTTCAGGCATTCCTTTCAAAATAGTTCTTAGAAAAATAAGATCCATAGTCCTGCATGTAAACTTCATTCCCACCGAGCAGCGGCGAGCGTCACTCGTCCTTGCCCTCCTCTTTGGAGTTCCTCTGCAGCACGGGGCTGAGCTTGGTTTGCAGAACAGCTGCGAGTTTTTTGGAGGTTTTCTTCAGGAAGGCGCTGCCGGGGTGGACGCCGCTGACGTGCAGGTACAGCTCCTCCTGCGTGGGGCCCGTGTAGCCGCAGTCCTCGCACACGTACAGCTTGTCCCTCCTCTGCTTGTAGGCGTAGTGCTGCTGCACGCCGTGGATCTTCCGCAGGTGCGACTCCAGCGAGCAGCGCTGCGTGAAGGCCTTGTTGCAAACCTCGCACTTGTAGGGACGAATGCCTGCAGCGGGAAAGACAGAGGTTACTGTGGCGTTCTGAAAAATCCCTTTACTCAGGATTTTCCTCCTAGGGAGCTGAGAAGCCTCAGAGAAAAAGGAGAACAATTATTGTTTCATTTGCTTTTCTTGTGCTGTGCTCACATGTAGGTTGTTTACCCACAGGGGATTGTTTCATTGGATTCTGGTGTGAGTTGTTCTCCCTCATTGGCCAACCAGGGCCAAGATATGTCGGGACTCCGGAAAGCGTCATGAGTTTTCATTATTGTCTTTTTAACATTCAGTAAATATCCTTTCTGTATTATGTAATGTAATGTAATGTAGTATAATGTAGTATGATATGGTACGATAATATAATATAATATAATATAATATAATATCATATCATATCATATCATATCATATCATATCATATTATAATACCATATCATATCGCATTATATTATATTGCATTGTATTGCATTATATTGCATTATATTATATGTTCTATGTTATATATTATATATGTTATATATTGTATATTATATATTGTATATTGTAAATATAATATAATGCAATATAATTTAATGCAATATGATATTATATAATATGATATTATATATAATATAGAATATAGATTATAGAACATAATTAATATATAATATATAATATATAATATATAATATATAATATATAATATATAATATATAATATATAATATATAATATATAATGTATAATATATAGTATATAATATATAATATATAATATATATAACATAATGTAATATAATGCAATACAATGCAATATAATGCAATATAATATAATGGGATATGATATAATGTGATATGATATGACATGACATGATATTACATTACATTATATTGCATTGTATTACGTTGTATTGCATTGTATTACATTGTATTGCATTACATTACATTACATTACGTATTGGAGGGTTATAATATAATATAAATATAGTAATAAATTAGCCTTCTGAGAGCATGGAGTCAGATGCATCATTCCTGCTGCCATGAGGGTCCCTGCAAATACAATAGCTTGTGTCACCTGTTGTGTCACCTGTGTCTTGTTTCCTACAGCCAGCCAAGAGCAAGGCCCTGGCACATCAGCTGCTGAGATATCCAGCAGCCCAAGGAGCTGCCTGTCTAAACAGAACATCCTCCTTTCAGGTTATGGGTTTATATATTTAGGCATAGAAAACCCAGGAATGTTATCCCCAGCAGATGCTGAGGATAACAGATGCCCATCAGTGGTTTGGTCCTAAGGCAGCCATTATCAGCTCCTGCAAAACTTATTTTAGACCACTGACTGTTTGAAATCCTGTGATTGGATAAAACTCTCAGTTTCAGTTTTTATAATGAATGAAAACTTCTGCCTTGGTAAAATTTTAATTTTTCTCTTTTGGTTTAACAAGGCTTCAGTGAACAGCAGCAATCCCAAGTACTTTCATACCATACAGTTTTGATGACTGAGATTACAAATTCTAGAGAAGTGCAGGAAGATGAAAGAAATAACTCTGTGTGTTTCCAGAGGAGGGAGAAGAAACTGGCTTGTGATTTGAAAGCCCAGACAACCAACACCACAAAAATCAATTTTACCACCAATCAACACTGATTTAACAACTCCCCCAGTGTTTAAAGAGCTGAGGATTTAGCAACACTTGAAAGAACATAAACCAGCAGGAATTCTAGTTACTAGACTAGATCAGTAAGTTTCCAAGCAAAGACCACCCTTAAAACTGATAAAAGGAGTCACCTAAACCCCTCTTTTCCGCAGGGAAGGTGGAATGCCAGGGTCTGGAAGACCCTATGGTGAGCCAGGCAGAAATGGGTAAACCTGATTGCTCAGGCAGTTGTAACTTTGTGATTGCAATGAGTTACCAGTCAGGACTTGATCAATCTACCAGAAATCCAAGCTAATTAGAAGTTCCAATAAGATCATCTCACCTGCATTTTTGATTGGTTGAAAGATGTTATCCCAGTGCACCAGAATAAACTATCAAGACAGAAGTTTCCTAATGCCTGCTGCTGTGAAATTGCTTCATTTCCATTCATTAAACTGCAGTTGGAGAGAAAGCCCAAACCTTCACTAGAATTCACACACAAAAAGCAGTTTTGTGCTCATTTGAGGCAATTTAAACCTCCACCATCATTGGTGCCTGCTCCAGCACTCCACATGCAGGAACAAGCACAGAAAGGGCACTGCCGGGATGGCACAGCCCATTAGAGCTGTGGGAACCTCTTCATCACTTAGGAATCATTTAAAGTCATTTAGGAATCATTTTAAATTATTCTGACCAGAGACCCTCTTGGGTTTATCTTCTGACTCTCTGATGAGGGGGCAGCTTGAAAAATCACTTCTTTTGGAAGCCCTGACTCCATACCTCAGTGGCAGCTCTCCTTCCCACATGAAAGCTTTGCAAACAAACCCAAACAGCCCAAAACATTGGCTCCAGGCAATGCCTTCCCATCCAAACAGGTGCCATTGTTTTGGGGGGCTCTACTGCTAAGAAACAGCTCCTGCCTAAAAACATCCTTGTGTCACTTCTAGCAGTTCACCTGGTTAATGGGGCTCTGCAGAGCAAGCCCAAATAATCTCCACTCCCATTGGGTGACCACACATCTGGGAAGATGGGATGTGCCTGTGAGATGTGGTGGATGCACCACCAACAGTGCAAAGTCAAAGCCTGGCCACCTGAGCACAGCCAGCCTGGCCACCAGGAAGAATTGCCCTTGGAGAGGATGGGGTTGATGTTTATTTAAGCCATTGCTTCCACAATGACTTAAATGGGAAGCAATGGGAAAAATTTTTTTAAAAATCCAATCAAACTGGCAGCCTTCTCCCTGCTCCAGGCTGGAGTAACAACTTCTGGGAAAAGTGAGCTGGATTTGAGGCAACAGAAGGTGATTTGGGATGGACTCAGGAACTGACCCCACAGCAGAGTGGCCACAGACAGCACATCCTGCAGCCTGGGGGAGGCACAGCATGAACCACACTCTGCTTCCTCCAGACATTTCCAAAATCAAGCCAGAATCCCATCCTGATGGGATGAAAGCATTCAAGAGTGAAAGCATTCAAGATTTTCCTGCTGGGTGAAACCTTCACCATCTCCTTGCAATCAAGTGGGGGATTTAATGTGCACAGTTTGGGACTCGGGGATCTCTGGCCAGCTTGGATTCAGGGGTTAAAACAAATTCTGTGTAGTGGTTTCCTTCCAGGAGTAGCAGCCCTTATCTTGCTACATCCATGAACAGAAGGACTTAGGCTTTGAGCACCTTTCTTGCTCCTGCACTCAGCTGATACCCTGGATGGAGAAGGGAAATCCTCTCTGGTACCAGAGTTGTTTTATGTTCTGCCTTCATCAGTCACACCTCCAACTGCTCCAGGTCCCTCAAAAACCATCCTGCACAGCAATCAGCTGGGAAGGCTCCCAACAGCAAAATCCCCAGGAAACTGCTGCTTGTTGCCTCTAGAGGGCAAAGCGTTTTCATGGAGCTCCTGCACGGATAACTGCAGCGATTTGCTGTCCTGGGGTGGTTATCCCAGGCAGGTTATTGGGGGGGTTATCCCAGGTGGGTTATCCTGGGGGGTTATCCCAGGCAGGTTATTGGGGGGGTTATCCCAGGTGGGTTATCCTGGGGGGTTATCCCAGGCAGGTTATTGGGGGGGTTATCCCAAGTGGGTTATCCTGAGGGGTTATCCCAGGCAGATTATTGGGGGGTTATTCCAGGCAGGTTATCCTGGGGGTTGTCCCAGGCAGGTTATTGGTGGGGGTTATTCCAGGCAGGTTATCCTGGGGGGTTATCCCATGTGGGTTATCCTGGGGGGTTATCCCAGGCAGGTTATTGGGGGGTTATCCTGGGGGGTTATCCCAGGGGGTTATCCCAGGCAGGTTATCCAGGGGGTCATCCCAGCCTTGCTGCCCCAGGCATGGCAGCACGGGGCTGTGTCTACACCAGGTGTGGATGGCAGGTCCTGCACCCTCACTGCTTCATAGGGATTGCAATAGTTCTCCTCAGATTTCATCATTCCCAGGACTTTTCTCTGTCCACACCACACACACTCAGTCTTCCCCTTTTCTCCACTGCATCCCCACAATTTTTGGCAAATGTTGTTAACCAGGCCCTCATGTTATGATCCCACCAGGTCACCCTCACAGTCTCCTTGTCCTTGTCCCATCTCACCCCTTCTCCCAGAGCCTCCCGCAGATCCCCAGGGATCCCATTCTCACCAGTATGGGTCCGGACATGCCTCTTCAGATCAAAGGTGTCGTTGAAGCCTTTTCCACAGAAGGTGCACAAGTGTCTCTTCACCTGGCTGTGGCACTTGATGTGCCGGTTGAGCATCCTCTGCAGGCGGAATCCTTTGCCACACAGCTCGCAGCTGTGCAGGGCAGCATCGGTGCAGGTGCCCGTGGTGAACTGGGGAGTGGGAGAGGAGGACTGTGTGAGCATCGGGATGAACCAGCAGGGGGAATAAAGCAAAACCAGCAGGGCTTATTGTGGCATTAAAAATAAAATTTAAAAAAAAAAAGGGGGGGGGAAATATTAAAAATGAAAAGTGAAAGCATTCAGTATTTTCCCACTGGGTGAAACCTTCACACTTTCCTTGCGATCAAGTGGGAGATTTAATGTGCACAGTTTGGGACTGAGGCATCTCTGGCCAGCTTGGATTCAGGGGTTAAAACAAATTCTGTGCAGTGGTTTCCTTCCAACCAAGGCAGTAGCAACCCTTATCTGGTTACATCCATAAACACAAGGGTTAAGCTTTGAGCACCTTTCTTGCTCCTGCTGATGCCCTGGATGGAGAAGGGAAATCCTCTCTAGTGCCAAAGAGCTGTTTTTTGTGCTGCCTTCACCAGTCACGCCTCCAACTGCTCCAGGTCCCTCGAAAACCAGCCAGCGGTGATAAAAAAGATGGTTTTGGAGATATAAACCCAAGGCACGTTGTGCTGTCTCAGCAAAGACTGAAACAATGGCCCTAATCTCGCCCCGTTGGTGTCTCGTTAATTAACAGCAAAGTGACATTAGGGGGTAATCTCATTCCCACTCCTGGCACCAAAAGCATTGTGCCAGCACCATGACATAACTTGACTAAAGAAGACACTGATGATTCAGCTCCTGGGAAGATCTGGAATGCCTGGAAAATGTAAATACTGCGCTGCTGGTTTAATTATTCCTGGTGGAACACACGGACATGCCCCCTGTTAGACGCCAGGGATGAGGGAAGGGCAGGAGAGCAGACAGGACCACATCCATCGGCTGAAAAGCCCAGCTCTGCTGAAAGGTTTTGCTGTGACAGTCACAAACAGCCCAGGTTAAATTATACAAAGCGGGTTAAAGTCAAACAGCAGCAGGGCGGGCTTTTCACAGGGACAGGAATACGTCTGGGGTTTCTCTTTCCTGAAGAGCCAGTTATTTTTCCCAGTCCTCCTCCTCTGCTTACTACTGCAGCAACACTACTCGAAATTATAAAGAAAGTTTAAAAAAATCAGGCATCTGTGAAACCACGAGGTGTGAAACTGGAGGGGGAGCCATCTGGGAAGAATCTGTTGGGCAATACCGCGATGACTCCACCTCAAGCAGCTGCATATAATCGGGGTGAAACCTAATCATGGCACTTCAGAACGCGGCGACAGAAAAGCTGTCAGCCCGGCACAGACAATGGTAATCTCTACAGCTCCATCCAGCACAGCGGCAGCCAGGGTTTAACGAGGTGTTAACCACCAGTGGTAAACACATCTCCTCCTGCCTAACGCTGGGGTGGCCTGGGACACCCTGGATGCTCACAGAGAGATCGGGAGCTCGCTCGGTGTTGGATTCTAGGGTACCACGAGGACTTGAGGCACCGTTTGCCTTCTCCCAGCCTTGGGAGGGAGGGAAATCACTGCGCTGCTGTGCTGGCTCTGCACAGGGAGCAGCCAGAGCTCCTGCCCCTCAGCAAAGTCCGTGGGCAGATGATTGCTCCATCTCACCCAAACCCGTAGGTCCACCTCAAGGTGGCAATGGTCCTTCACAGCCATGGAGGAGAACCTTATCTGCTCTCTTGATAGGCCATGGTGGGAGGGGGCAGCGTGAAGGGTCACCCCAGCCCTCCTTGGGGAAGGTTTGAGCACAGCCCAGCAGGCAGCTTTTAAGGAGGCCCCACGCTAAGGAGCACGATCCACCCACGCCCCGTAGGGCACGACTCCGTGCTGCCAGGGCTGCTCCTTCCCGGCTGGTTCAGAGCTCCCGTGGGACCCGAGCCAAGCAGGTCAGGGGCAGCACATCCCGGGCAAGGATAAGAGAAGGCAAAGGGCGCTGGAAGATTGTGGCACAGCGCTTACGGGGCTTTCCCTGCCGCTGCCACCCCACAGCGGGCTGGCCTCCGCCGCGGTGTGCGGGACAGCTGCTGTCACCACTGTGCGGGATTGTCACCTGGTGTCCCCGGGCAGTGCCAGGCCTTGACCTTGAGCAGGGGTCACCCCACTGCCAGAGATGGTTGGGATGTGGATGTAGGCATTTACCTTGATTTTTGACCTGACCACGGGCCGCTGGCCGGCCAGGTCCAG